GGATCTGAGACTGTACCCAGGTTTAGGATCTGAGACTGTACCCAGGTCTAGGATCTGAGACTGTACCCAGGTCTAGGAGAGTCCTCGCACTGGAGCTTTTGTTTGGATCGAACTCGGTGCTTCACTCGTCTGTACCTTAAAAAAACAAAACATTAGTGAATATTGTCATGTTTGCACCACAAAGTCTAAAATAAGACTCCAAGGTTACTACTCAGAGAAGAAAATAATACAGTCGCTCCTAACATTTTTTATCATTCACAAAGTTCTACATTCAATATTATATTACATTTAGTAATTTTTATCTTAGATTTACTTTAATATTTTTGAATTATTGTGCTGGTTGCATGTGTCATTACCTGCTGTTCCTCTGCTGCTGACGTTCTCACAGTAAGTTTGTGTCAACTTCAGTGTAGGAGACCAGTCTGTGTTTATTCGTGTGCCTTCCTGAAAAAATAAATCAATAGAACAAATGTTGTGAAACCCAAAAGATGAACTTGTGTTATGGATTATTTTCAGTACAGACAACATCTCACTGCTTTATTCACACAAGAGTGTAAAGGGGGACCCAAAATCAAAACATAGTTTGTCTGACAATGTTAGTATTCAAATATTATGTATATTAAATACAATGTGTGCGATGCACATACTGTACAGTATATACATACACACAGTGTATGTGTATAGCCTACTGTATATGTGTAACACATGTAGTTATATTAATAATTGACAGATTTGTTTAGTAAATGCTTTAACTGATAGTTACTCACATTTTATTACAATTTTAGCTTTACGTGCGTTTTTCTCTTCTCTTATTCACCATCATTATTTTAAGTGTACTTCAATAACTCTGGTTTAATGACGAGTAATGTTTTGTGAGCTGCTGTAATATTACCATTATTAATCCGGTCTATTTTTAAAGAGATTTGTAAGTCTAACTCAGATCTAACTGGTTAAATAAAAGTTTAAAATAAAATAACATGCAGCACAACAAACGGTCCAGGCTCAACATGGGACTAGAACCAGAACTTTGTTGTCGTGAGTGTTACGGTGTGGAGGTTAGCATGTAACATAGCATTGCTAAGCTAACTACAGTAGTAAAGACTCTAAATCATGAAAACATCAGTTCCAACACACAAATACTCTGACATTGTTCTGACATTGTTTCACAAAATGATTTATATAGAATTTTTTGTTTACCGGACAAAAAGTGATCGGAGCACGACGTCTTCGAGGGCAGATCCTTAGCCAGTTCAACAATGATCTCGAGGTCCTTCACATTTCCTTATTTTTGGGATTAAGTGAAAACTGCGCTTTGCCGAAACGTCTACCTGGTTGTAACATCCTTTAACCCAGCACGAAACAACCATTGCAATTTACTTAAAGAAAGAAGAAAAAAAAACTTTGACAAAATTAACTACCGGTAAACTGCACTACATCTATACCAGCTGCCAGAGGTTGCCTTCTAACGTGGAGGTGGAACCGGAAATACCCCTGATGTGACGTCACATGGGAACTATGTATTCAATATTTATATCACTTCTATGGAGGCTTTTGATAAAAAAAGAGAATATTTCTGTTACTGTTTCTCCTTTTAAATGTTACAGGGTCCATTTTCTGTTAACTATTTTCTTTTCACTCAGTATTTGTACTACACAGTGTTTCATTTGTTTTCTTTACTTTTGTTTGTAGTATTGACGCCTCAAAAGAAGATGGATCTCTTGGAAGACTAGTGAATGACAACCACAAATCTCCAAACTGCACCATGAAAAAAATAATTGTAAATGATACGCCACACTTGTGCCTGTTTGCCATTAGAAAAATAGAAATAGAAACTGAAATTTATTACAACTATGGTGATTCTAAATGGCCATGGCGTAAAAAAGTAAGTTGGTTAGACAAAGTACACAAATTTGATATGTTAATTTGGTAGATAAAATCTTAAATGTTGTTTTATTTTTACTTGATTGGCTCTCAGGCCCCTGCTGTTGTAGACGGTCCAGCAATTTTGTGTGATCCATCCACTGATGACTGCCTCAGACATGACACCAGCCTACAGGTAACTGTGAATTAAACTTTGTCATGATAAATTAACTTTGGAGACCTGTTGTCACTGACATGGTATGGTGTTGATACAGTTATTACATCT